ATAGAGATGCCTCGTTTAGTGTGCCCAGTATAGAGATGTCTCGTTTAGTGTGCCCAGGACAGAGATGTCTCGTTTAGTGTGCCCAGTATAGAGATGTCTCGTTTAGTGCGCCCAGGACAGAGATGTCTCGTTTAGTGTGCGCAGTATATAGATGTCTCTTTAAACGTGCCCAGTACAGATATGGGAGTTCGACCAGCATGGAAGGAGTTGGCCAAAATCACCCTCTGTGAGCGGGACCCTCTAGAGAAAGTGGTTCTTAACCTTTTGCTGCAGACGCAAATAGATCAATAACGATGCAAATTTGGTTGTATACGCAGGAGGTTTTCGCGATCAAATGTCACCCGCAACGGAGGCGTTTCGCGGGTTGGATCGCGTAAATGTGTCTCGTTAAACCCGCCACCACCCGGCACGGCCAATAAGTAATGTCTGTCACTTAAAACGAAACGAGCAAGCGAAATTGGCACGTTTTGTTCACGTGCCAAAAACCTTACACTAATTGGCTGTGTCGGGTGGTGGCGGATTTTAACGACGCACTTATGTTTACGCGATCGAACCCAATCACCTTTATTACCAATGCAAATCTGGACCGCAAATTTCCACACGCTAACATCTTGTTGCACAGCGTGAAAGGTCGCCCCCCCCCCCCCCCCCCCCCCCGTTCACTAGCCCGCAGTGACTACCCTGGTGAAATATGGTCAAACACCCCCCCCCCTCGCCGGTGACCCGCACTGCGTGTGAAGGCATTAATCCGGAAGTGGATTTAAGAGCTGCTAAGTCATCATCATCGTCTTCATCATCATCGTCATCATTCGAATGATAGACCTTTGGATATGTGCTTAGCGAATGAAAGATATACGTATGGCATTCACACACACAAGACAAATATCCCCCCCCCCCCTCCCCCCGTGTAGCGTTAACAGACTGTAGGGGCAAGTGTTGTTTGTGAGCACCTATGAAAGCCGGCACGGCATACGACGGGGTGGGTGGCTAGCACCACGCCCGGCCGCCTTTGTCTCCCTAGTGGCAATGTTTACACACCGCACCAGGTACTCATTTGAGGCTGAGTCGACCGAGGTGAGGTCCAGGACCGGGTTCAGATAATCGTCACTGATGTTGGCCGTGAACGGGATTCGAACTCGGGTCGCCAGGTTCGTAACGCGGTGCACTAACCACTACATTACCGTTCAGCACACACACACATACAGACGCGATAACACATGTTTGCATATCAAGGTGTACACAACACACGGTATTAGCCACGAGCCCCGACTTGCTGGGGTCATATTGCTTGTGATTATCTAATGGGTTTTGATTAATTTAGCCATCCAAAGAGGCCATTAAACTAGCTGACGTACTTCCTAATGTGCTGATTAATGCTTTATGTGCACATAACTCAATTGTGGGATCGCACTCAACAACAGTGGCATCGCCACCCCTACTGCCAGGGAGAAGAGGTTGTTAGCGCCAATGTCATATTCAGTTTAACACGTAGTAGTAGGCTTTCGCGACCAATATTATCCATAATAGAGGTTTTTTTGTGTGTGTTTGTGTGGGTTAGATCGTGTAAATATAAATGTGTTGTTAAACCCGCCACTACCCGCCGCAGCCAATCAGTGAGGTTGTGTCACGTAAACAAAACGTGCCAATCCGTCACTAGTTCAGCACACACCTGTGTGTGTTGGAGAGTAAACCCACAACACGTTTTGCACGTGATTAACTGAGAAGCACGTGATGGACTGAGAAGCTCGTGACGGACTGAGAAGCACGTGACGGACTGAGAAGCACGTGATGGACTGAGAACCACGTGATGGACTGAGAAGCACGTGACGGACTGAGAAGCAAGTGATGGACTGAGAACCACGTGGTGGACTGAGAAGCACGTGATGGACTGAGAACCACGTGATTAATTGAGAAGCACGTGATGGACTGAGAAGCACGTGACGGACTGAGAAGCACGTGGTGGACCGAGAAGCACGTGACGGACTGAGGAGCACGTGATGGACTGAGAACCACGTGGTGGACTGAGAAGCACGTGATGGACTGAGAACCACGTGATTAACTGAGAAGCACGTGACGGACTGAGAAGCACGTGGTGGACTGAGAAGCACGTGATGGACTGAGAAGCACGTGGTGGACCGAGAAGCACGTGGTGGACTGAGAACCGCGTGATGAACTGAGAACCACGTGATTAACTGAGAAGCACGTGGTGGACTGAGAAGCACGTGACGGACTGAAAACCACGTGGTGTACTGAGAAGCACGTGATGGACTGAGCACCACGTGATGGACTGAGAAGCACTTGATGGACTGAGAAGCACGTGATGGACTGAGCACCACGTGATGGACTGAGAAGCACTTGATGGACCGAGAAGCACGTGATGGACTGAGCACCACGTGATGTGATGAGCACCACGTGATGGACTGAGAAGCACGTGATGGACTGAGCAGCAGGTGGTGGACCGAGAACCACGTGATGGGCTGAGAACCACGTGATGGACTGAGAAGCACGTGGTGGACTGAGAAGCACGTGGTGGACTGAGAAGCACGTGGTGGACTGAGAAGCATGCGATGGACTGAGCACCACGTGATGGACTGAGAAGCACTTGATGGACTGAGAAGCACGTGATGGTATGAGCACCACGTGATGGACTGAGAAGCACGTGATGGTATGAGCACCACGTGATGGACTGAGCACCACGTGATGGACTGAGAAGCACTTGATGGACTGAGAAGCACGCGATGGACTGAGCAGCACATGATGAACTGAGAAGCACGTGATGGACTGAGAACCACGTGATGGACTGAGCACCACGTGATGGACTGAGCACCACGTGATGGACTGAGGACCACGTGATGGACTGAGAACCACGTGTTCATTCTGCACGCGAAGACACGGCACAGGGCAATCCAGGACAGGCGGATGAGGTTTTTTCCCCTCCCCCCTCCACACCCCCAACACCGCCCTGCAGACGCACAAAGGCTACGTCCGTGTCTTGAGCGGTGTTTGAAACTTACGCACACCGACAGCTCCGCTAATTTCTATTCGCTTTGGGGTCACGTGGGGGGGGGGGGGGGGAGGGGGTTGGTGGGGGAGTGCAGCGATGGTGACTTTGAGCTGCTGGTAATTGGCTGAGACAAACCACCCCACCCTCACCCTCCGAGTTCCATATTCTAAACGGCAGGAGGAGGGGGTGGGTGGGCGAAGTGGTGGGTAGGGGGGGGGGTGGAGAGGTGAAAGGGGGGGGGGGTGGGTGGTGGAGGACAGCGATTGAGGCGATTTACAATGAAACGAGCGGACGCCGCTCTCCCTGCCGTGAATGACGGACGATGATGCGCTTGGGCCACGGCTCCTGACGGCTCTGCCCGCTGCGCATCCCTAACCCCCCCCCCCCCCACCTCTCCCCCCCCCCACCCCACCACTGCGTCCGCACGTGGGCCGGGGCATGCAGGGCCACGCTCCCCCGTCCATCCATCAAACGAACACCCACACCCCCCACCCCCCACCCCCCAGCATCCTCCCTCGTCACCCTCCTACTGCTCCTCGCTCTCTCGTTTATTGCGATGCGGGCCTCCGCAGCCATCGGGAGGTGCGGTGCGGCGAAAACATCGGGAAGGTCACGAGTTCAAATCAAGGTTACGGGGGTGGGGGGCGGCGTGGATGGGAGGTGGGGGGGTCAGTGAGGTGGGGGGGGGGGTAGGTCACGTCAAGGTCGTCAATATAAAACAACAACAACGCAGGCGACGGAGCGGTGGTTGTCGTTATTCGGGCGACTGGACAATCCCCCTCCCCTCCGCGGCCCCTCCCCCCGCCATAGGAATGTGGAATTTCCACCGGCCGTCTCTCCGAGAGCTGTAAGACAACTGAGTGCGGCGCTGACGCGGCGGCAGATCCCCGAGGTTGCGGTGATAAACGCAGCGTGAGATCTTCGCTCCCTCCCTCCCTCCCCTTCGCCTTCTCTCTCTCCGTCCGAAAAAATAAAACCACATTTTCCCCTCTCCCTCCACTCCGTAGGCTGACGCCGGTGCCTGGGCCTCTCGGGGTGCCTCGCGGGGGCCTCCAGGGCGAGTCGGGCGACGTGGCTCAGCATCTTGTCTCGACGAGGTGGGGTGGGGGGTGGGAGGTGGGGGTGGCGGGAACGTTTTGGGCCCTCGTGAGATGCAGATGAGCGTGCGAATGCTGGTGGCAAGCGGGGAACTAGGTCCTGAAGGAGGGGGTGCTTGGGGTGTCCGGTTCCGCCCGTAACATTTTGAGGCCCAGCGCCTGGTGCTCGGGTGCAGTTGCACCGCCTGCGTGCCCGACTGCCATGGCCAGGTCGGTCCGTGCGAACGGATGCGACCCTCTCGCAAGCTTCCCCCAGTCGAGATTCTTCGGCCACTCTGAAATTAAATTTATTTCCCACTTCTGGAATCTCTCTCTCTCTCTCTCCTGTCTCCCTGCCCAGTCAACCCAGACCCTGCCCAGTAATTGAACCTGAACACACACACACAGCACCGTGAACACAGCTCTAATACGGACAGACGGAGAGTGTCATCTTCCTGCCGGTTTATTGTGGCTAGGAGATGTCAACTCCCTTGTCCCATGTACAAATGAGGTCCTGGGTTCGAGCCCCACTCTGGCGCCTGCTGTCTATTTGGAGTTTGCGTCTCTCCGGGGCCCTCCGTTTTTTTTTTACCCTCCACATTCAGAATCGACGCGCGTTTAGAGCATTTGGCTGCTGTAAGTTTTCACGTGATGATAAGCCACTTGGTTGACCTATCCTTTGTGGCCAGGTCGTTTATTTAAAAGAGCTACATAGCTCAGTGTGCATCGCCTGGTAAACGTAAACAAAACGTTTAGGTTTAATAGATTCCGTTCCGCCTTCCTCTACCCTGCTGCTGCATTGCTTTGCCACCGCTGGACTCAACCATCTCCTCCCCCCCCACTCCCCCGCCCCACCACCACCCCCGATATATAGAACCACGAACACACGAAGGCAGACAGACAGACAAACACAGCACCGGCTAACGTCGCTGCGACACGGAACGCACGGACAAAGTCAAAACGAGTCACACGACGCATCTCCCCGTTGGCCGGGCGATCCTCCGGTCGCTCCACGGTCGGTACCCTGCTGCTGCAACGTGACCTTCCCCCCCTCCCCTCCACCCCCCCCTCCCCCCCAACCAGTGGAGGTGATGAAAGCCGCCCGCACGGCGAGAGAGAGGCATCGACGGGGCCCCCCTCCAAAACGAAGGCCGCCACGTGGCCTCTGACAACCGTCGTAGAAGCTACATCACGAAGCTTCTTACGCGCCCTCTACCCCCCCAACCCAACGCCAAACCCCCAACCACCGCCCCACCCCTCCAAAGAAATAAGGGGAGTTGACAGATCTGAGTGATTTTTTTGTAACCCCTTTAAAAGAAAAATGTATTGACAAGTTAACTCTGGGGCCGGTTTTCGAACGGTGTACCGATGAGACCCAGAAGGTCGAAACAAGCTCCAGAGTTTGCTTGCTGGAAACGAAAGCGGCTTTGACAGCATTGGTCCGGATGGAGCGGGAGAGGTTCAAAACGAATAAGTAAAAAAAAAATGGATTCGTTAACGTCCTTAAATGAGATCAATTTTGATTGTTTTCAGCTGTTAGGCAGTGCGGGCATTGTTCAAGTTCTCTACGAAGGCCCGCAGTGTCGCGGCCGTCAACCACGGGACCCCGAGTTGTGCAAACCCCCCCCCCCCCCACCTTCGTGCCCTTTTAACGTACAACGATGACGGGAACGTACCTCAACAGCGTGACACAATCACTGCACATTTGGAGACGTCTCAACTTCGACGCTCGAGGGCAGCAGCTCCGGACCTCTCTTAACCGTCACCCCCCCCCCACCCACCCTCGACCTCTCCACCACCGCCACCACTGAACCTTCAATGATACCTTCGCGGACCGTCCGTGCGCGTCTAACGTAACCTTTTTTTCAGGGTTAACAGCAACTAAAAAACGCCACGCTCCTCCACATCGTGGCATCGGCGACAGCTCCCCTTACCCCCCCCCACCCCGGCCACGCCCACTCTGCCCCCCTCCAGCCACCTCCGCCCCACCACGGGGGGCCGCCGTTGCTCCGCGGACCTACGGGTTGGGGAGCAACCTCTCGAGAGGTTGTTTTTTTTGCTCCTACCCCAGATCTGGCAACGCGACAGGGAGGGACTGAGAGGTGGGGGAAGATGGGGGTGAAGCGAGGGCGAAGGTCACAAAGGTCGCAAAGGTCACAACGGTCGCACGACCTACACCTCCGACTCGTAGCCCAACAGAGTCGTATGCATAGATCTCGATTTGTCCTTGTGCGTGGGGAAATCGCGCGGCAGAGTTCGGTGTTGTCTCTGGTCCGCCGTATGCCAGGGCGCCGCCGTCACCGCCGCCACCGCAGCCGCCCTGCACTGAACCTCCGCCGGGTGCCTCCGTCTCGAAAACCCAGCCCCGTAGCCCATCCAGGAACGTCCGTCCACGGTGGTGTACGGCGGCGGCCGGTGCTGGTGCTGCATCACCGTGACGGGTGCCGGCAGCGTCGAGACGCACGGCTGGGAGCGACGGCCGACAGCAGTACGGCCCGCCGGTGCCGTCGCCGCCGCCGCCGCCGCCGCCGCCGCCGCCGCCGCCGCCGCCGCAGCCGGCGCCGGCCGTACCGCCGCTCCCGGCGGGGCTGCAGCTGAGGGCGTCGTCCGCGGTTGTCGCTTCGCCGCTCGCAGTACGTGCTGCGCTCCGAGTCGGCGTACCAGTGGCCGCCGCCCGGCGGCGACAGCCCGTACAGCGACTCGGACGCCGTGTACGAGTCGCGCTCCGAGAACGACTCCACGTCCTCGTCGCCCTCGTCGTCATCGCAGTCGTCGTCGAGGTCGTAACTCTCCACCGACGGGCGGCCGTAGCGCTCGAACGACGAGCTGTCGCGCGGGTTGTACGGCACCGCCGCTGCCGCGGCGCCGACGGCGCCGACGCCGGCGCCGACGCCGGCGCCGACGCCTTGGCAGCCTGTCCTGCTCGCTCGCTTGGCCGCCGGGCAAAACGGCGGGGACAGCGCTCGCCGCCTGTGCCCCTGTAGGCGGCTCTTCCGCTTGCGCCGGCACAGCGGCCGCCGCCGCGCCTTCTCGGGGATGAGGTCAACGTCGGCGTCGCCCGGCGACTCGGGGCCGCCGCGCAGCTCCTCCAGGCTGCGCGACGGCAACGACTCGCCCGCGTGTGGGAGGCCGACGCCCCAGCCGCCGCCGCCGCCGGGCCCCCACGGCCCGCGCGTCGGGTCCAGCGGCAGGGGCTGAGGTGGCGCCGGCAACGGGGGCGGCCGCGGCGGCATCGCGAAGCCGTGCAGCGGGCAGTTCCACACGGGGACGGCGCCATCCGCGGCGTCCGAGGCGCCGACCGCCGAACTCGGCGAATCGCCGAAGCCGCCCGTGCCGGCGGAGGCGGCGGTTCCTCGTGGGCTGCGTGTGATAAACAACCAGTTGTCACTGTCCGTCTCCCAGTTGCTGTGCGAGCGCCGGTCGTGGTTGGTCGAGCAACCGCCGTCAGCGCCGAGCGAGCGGGGCCACGCATCGGGCCCCAGCGCCACCACGAGCCGTGGGCTGTGCGGCCCGCCGACCGCATCGGGCGCCAGCAGTGGTACCGGCAGCGGCAGCGGCTTGGGGGCGCTGCGCCGGCAGTCGCGGTGCAACGGGCAGGGCCCCCCGCCCGGGCCGCGAACGCTGTACGCGGCCCGGCCGCCGTCGGAGAGCCCGTGCCTCTTGAGGATGATGGCGGCCGGGCCTCGGCGGCCCCCGTGGGCGGCTCTTGCCAGCGGCCCGCGCTCGCAGCAGCCGCACGAGCCGCACGGCGCGGCGAGCCCCCGCGAGGAGCCGCCCCCGACGCTCCCGGTTGCCGCCGCGGCCGCCTTGGCCCGCTGCTCGCTGCGCTTCTTGCGGTTGACGATGCGGACGATGCTGCGGGCGGCGCGCAGCAGGCGGTTGACGTTGGCATGCTCGTCCTGGCTCTCCTGCTGCGCCAGCGCAAATAGCCCCTTGTCCTTGCTCACCTCCACGCCGTACAGGCAGCTGTAGATGCCCTGCGGGTGACAGAGAGCAAGGGGGTGGGGTGGGGGGGGGGAGGAGGACGGTGCTTCTGGATAGCCCGTCGGATTCCTCCAGTACAAATACATATTCTGATTCTGAAGTGCTCGTGAAGCTGCCGACGTATTCCGAGAGGCTGGTCGAACCCGCCCATTTTAACACTGCCACGCCCACTCAATCGCTAGCACTGCCAGACCCTGTCCAGATAGCCACGCCCATTTGCCATTGTCCAGTTTATTTTGTTTGACCAGGTAGGTGGATTTTCATAAACTGGCAGCAATGACACGAAGTGAAATCATTACAAAAACAACCGCATTGTCACATGGGAAAATATTGCACGAACATAGATCAAGGTAAAATTATAATCCCCTATGGGTCTGAGAGCCTGCGGGCCTGCGATCCTGCGGATGTGCTAGCACACAGACCTATGGGCCTGCGAGCCTACAGGACTGAAAGCCTGTGGCCCTTCAGGCCTGAAAGTCTGCAGACCTGCAAGCCTACAGGCCTGAGATCCTGCGGGCCTACAGCCTGCGGGCCTGTGAGCCTACAGGCCTGAGAGCCTGCGGGCCCGCGGGCCTGTGCTAAGCGAAGGGAACAAAGGAGCCACTCACCCTGCTAATAGCGAGCAGAATGCGTGGCGTGGGGTTGATGGAGGCCTTGCGGCCCGCACGGCCCACACGCCGGTAGAAGATGTGCTCGGCGAGGAAGACGAGCAGACTGAGGCCCATGGCCACCAGCAGCATGTAGAAAACGCCCGCCATGTTGTCCACGTCTAGCTTGCTGCTCATCACCTCGTTCTTCTCCTTCTTGCAGATGCCTGCCAGCCAGATGGTCTCCAGCTCCTCCAGCTCATCTGGAGAAGGAGGGGACAACCGAGCAAAGGAGAGGTTCATGGGCAGGGGGTTGATCTAAGCGCGGTGAACTGACTTTGATCCTTACCTGCGAAATATTGATAGTTCATGGTTCATATGCCATTTTATTGAGGGGCTGCCGCTGTGTGGTGTTATCTAGGCGTGGTCTGGGATGTTTTGCCGCTATTTTTGCTGCCGTGCCCATTGCTGTTGTAACTTTTCTGACCCGCCCACACTGGATATCTGTGAAAAAGAGCTTCACAGCTCTTCAAATTCCTCCAGGCGAAATAAACATTCTGATTCTGAAATAGATTTTTTACATGGTCTAAACCAAATAATTTTTTATCTTCAAACTAAACTATGTTTTTATTTTACAAGGTAAGGCCCACTGAGTTATGTAGCTCTTTTTCAGAAGCGACCTGGCCATCACAAATGATAGCTCAATTAAGTGGCTAATGATCACGTGGACATTTATTGCAGCCAAATACTCTCCGGCCACCGAGCTGTGACCATCAAATTCACTACACTTGAGGAGCCCGTTTAACCACAACTCGATCTGTGTGAGTCTACGGGTCTCTCTGTAAGTCCGTGGTTCTCTATGTGCTTCACTGGTTGGCAGACAATGACCATCAAACTCACTACACTTGAGAACCCTAAGCCTAAGCATAATCACGGGCAGTGACTCAAGCCTGGATTCAATCACAGTGCTCCAAACAGTGTTCTCTGACCCATGAGCCATGTCAAACGTCAGCAGACCTTGCCAAAGTGGCCGATTTCCCGGGAGCTTCCACAACTTGAACCGTCTAGTTTGTTTACACGTTCTCACCGCGTCGCGACTGATCAAACGTCCGCGCGATATGGGGAGGCCGATCGCGCGGATTCGCACGCGCGTTCCCCCCACCACCTCTTCCGCTCAATCTCTCTCCTTCCCATCGCTTTACTCGCGTGTGACAATGCGACACAGTGGGGGGGGGGGGGGGGGGAGGCGCACATTCAAAATGTAACAGTTGCGACGAGCGAGAAGAACGGTGCATCGCAGCAACCGCCGCCCGCTATGATGCAAACGTGCCGAACAGAGACCTCGATTATCCAAGCAAAAACCTGGCGAGACGTTGGCTCGGTCCGCATTGAAACGTTTGCACATTGAGACGGCGGTTCAAGACAATTTCCCGTGCTTTGTCCCACGAGTAAAGAACGGCGTGTGGAAGCCATTATTTCGTTTGTATGGGGTAAAAGTAAAAGTTAAACGTGCAGCTTTGTTCTTAATGAAGGTGTCGGCAACATCTGGCAGGGAAGTCAAATTGGTACACGTGGGAAATGAGCTGCCTCAGCAGTCGTATGGCTTTTCCACTGTAAAAACCAAGCCATGTCGGGACCATGCTCAAGCCAGACCTGAGTGGCTCTAGAGGCCTCCAGTTTTGTTTTTCCACTGCTGCAGAATCGGAGCTGTGCTGCTGATGTCCCTCGTGGTGAACGAGCGGAGACACGCGTGGGTGATACGGTGATGCCGGGTACTCACCACATACCGACTCACGTCACGCACACAACGAAAGCGTCACTGGTCCCACCCCTGGCCCTGCTTGGCCCCGAGCCAGTTTAAGATGCCTTGCGAGGCCAGCAGCATCCCGGCTCAGCATGGCAATTAGCAAGCAACCGCCCCCCCCACTGCTCACCATCACCCAGCAACTGCAGCACGGTGAGGTCGATGTTGCGCTTCCACTTGGAGCCCTTCTGGAGCGCGATGCCATAGCCCGTGGTGGCGAAGACCTTGCCGCTGCCGATGGTCACCAGCTTGCAGCCCTCATCCTTGCCCGCCATGTAGTTGAGCACCGCGGCATCGTAGATGAACGCATCCAGCTTGCTGCGAGAGAAAGAGGCGGGCGGGCATGGCGGGGGGGGGGGGGGGGTGTGATAAAAGTGTGATAAAGAGGTTCATAGCTCATCAGATTTCTCCGGTGTTAACGATGCACAAACGAAATTTGGCCCATGGTCTGCTTTATGGCCCGTTGACCTCTGGTGCGTAGCCCTTTAACCCGTGGCCCTTTGGCACGTGGCACGTGGCCCTTGGCCTGTGGCACGTGACCCTTTGGCTTGTGGCACGTGGCCCTTTGGCACGTGATGCGTGGCCCTTTGGCACATAGCGCGTGGCCCTTTGGCCTGTGACGCGTGGCCCGTTGGTGCCACACGGCCCCCCCTGGCTGCGTGGCACGCGCACGACCCTGCCCACCTGGCCTTGAGGTTGAGCAGGGCGTCCTCGACGGTGCGCTGGTTGTAGCGCGACATGTACGCGTGCATCTCGGGGTAGTTGTTGCGGATGTTCCGCTCCGTGCTGCCGTTGGGCACCGTGCCGAAGCGCAGCGGCGGGTACTGCTCCGTGGGCTTCTGGAACTGCGGAAGGAGGCAAGGCAGGGGCCATCCCACCGGTGAATTGGTGCCCATGGGCACGGCCGGGGTTCCGCCGCTCCATCCATTCTCCCTCCTCATGCGCGGCTCCGTGAGACAGTTCGCAAGCTAATAACGTGCTTCGTGGGGTAAGATCAACGTCGTTTATTTCACGACGTTGGGGCCGATGTCAGTCTACGGACGATAGAAGTCTGCAGGAAGTGTTAGTCTGTGGTGGGAGGATCGGCAAACCTGCGGCTCTGGTGCCGCATTGCAGTGGCTTCTTTAAGGGACTGCAGTGGAGTTCTTGAAATTCGACAAAATGGCTCTGGTTGCCAACTACAACCATGGATGTCAAGTTCACCTTGGAAGTCCAGCTTACCATGGAATTCCAGTTCACCATGGATGTCCAGTTTACCATGGAAGTCCAGTTTACCATAGAAGGCCAGTTTACCATGGGAATCCAGTTTACCATGGGAGTCCAGTTCACCATGGAAGTCCAGTTTACCATGGAAGTCCAGTTTACCATAGAAGGCCAGTTACCATGGGAGTCCAGTTTACCATGGGAGTGCAGTTTAGCATGCAAATCCAGTTTACCATGGAAGGCCAGTTTACCATGGGAGTCCGGTTCACCAAGGAGTACTGTCTCGTGCTCACCACATGCATTGTGGCTTTTTAATATATATTTTTCCAGAATAAAAAAAAATGGCTCTAAATTTCGATTTAAAGCTTTCGTGACTGCAAGGATTCATCTTCTTTGGTTCTTTCGGTGAAGTCACGTAGAATGAGAATAAAATAGTAAATTGATCAAATAAAACAACTCATTAAAATTCTCACGACGTTTCGGCCACAACACAAGCGGCCTTCATCGGGTGAAGGGACGAGACTGTCTGGAGGACAGCGCTGGAGCGAACAAAGCCACGCTCAGATCGCGACCTTTAAGCTGTGTGAGAAGAAACAAAGTGCCTTGACAAAGGAATTAGCATAGAATTAAGCATTGAAATAGCTAAGTGATTAGCTTGTGACTGGTCACAGAAATGGCTATGTTAAAGTCAAAGCATACACATCCACAGAGGCACCCCTTGACAAAGGAAATTAGCATAGAATTTAGCATTGAAATAGCTGAGTGATTAGCTTGTGACTGGTCACAGAAATGGCTATGTTCAAGTCAAAGCATACACATTCACAGAGGCACCTAGTACAAATTAAACAGGATAATTTAGCATTGAAATAACTGAGTGATTAGCTTGTGACTAGTCACAGAAATGGCTATGTTAAAGTCAAAACCTACACATCTGAGCTATTCACAGTAACTGGGTATACACTACACTATATAATGAATACTATAAAGTAAACCAATAGAAAACTAAAATATAAATTACCTCAATGTTATCAATAAACTCTATATATTCTCCAATCAGCTAAGCTACCAACACTAAGTCGTTATATATCACAATGCTATATGGCGAAAAAATGGGTGGATTCTTACCCTCAACTTTAGCACCACGGATAGCTACGAGCCCTGTTCAGACGGACGAGTTCATCCATGGTCGGAACGGAGGAGGGGGAGAGAGACAGCTGCGAGGCGCTGTTATACTCCATGTTGTAAACCATACCATTAACCGTGGTGTGAGAGGTATTAAGAGTCAATGCCAGCGAAAGAGCTGCGGTCTGAAGGTCATCGTAAAATACAATTAATTAAGAACGGAAATGGTTTAAAACATCTTTCCAATGGTTACTAAGCCAGAATACATCTTCTCGGTTGAAATTGTCTCTGCGCTTGTATATGTGAATGGCCTCATGAACGAATCTCTCATGGTAGCCGGTTGGTTGCAAAGAACCTCCGTCTTGGAGAAGTCAATGTCATGTGAACCCACTGAATTATAACAGTGATCTGCCACGGCAGAGGAGTTCGTTCTACCGTGTTTCAAGTCTGCTTTATGTTCGCGGATGCGGTCCGAGATATGTCGTTTGGTTTCTCCAATGTAGCTACTACCACAGTGGCACTTTAGTTTGTAAATGCCCGGGTACTGTATCTCTGGAACAGTATCTTTTACAGATGGAACCAGATCACGGATTTTATGTACTGTGTTGAATCGGACCTGCATCTTGTGTTTATTCAGGATTTTGGAGATCTTTCTAGTGACCTCTGCAATGTAGGGTAAGGTGATGGTTTTGAGTGGCTCCACAAGAGGATCCTTCTTCATGACTGAAGTGATGGCTTTGCGGATTGTGTAGTCGGAGTAACCATTAGCCCTGAGAGCCTGGTGTACGTGCTTGAGTTCACTGGTGATGTGTTCCTGGTCGGAAATGCATTGGGCTCTATTGTATAGAGTCTTGATCAGGGAGTTCTTCTGGGATGGATGGTGGTGGGAATCCGGTTTCAAGTAAGCATCTGTATGGGTAGCTTTCCTGTAGACAGAGTGGCTCATTGAACCATCATGTCTCCTTTTAAATAAGACATCCAAAAAGGGTAGTTTGCCATCTTTTTCGACCTCCATGGTAAATCTGATGGCTGGGTGTATGGAATTGATGTGGTCGCGGAATTGGTCTAGAGCAGGCTGGCCATGTGGCCAGATGACAAAAGTGTCATCCACGTACCTCTTCCATAAGGTCGGGCGTAGAGTGGCAGTCTGGATGGCGTCAGTTTCAAAATTTTCCATGAATACGTTGGCTACAACTGGAGATAGGGGGAGCCCATTGGGGTGCCCTCAGTTTGTTTGTAGAAAGTTCCATTCCAGGTGAAGTATGTGTTGGTTAAGCAATTTCTCACCAGGGGGGGGGTACATCAGTATGCAGTCCTTGATGAACCAGGTCTTCAATGATAGCGATGGTGTCAGGTACCGGGACTTTGGTGAACAAGGACACCACATCAAAACTGACAAGCCGATCGTCTGGGGACAGGGAAATGCCTTTGATGATCAATTTATTATTTTATTCTCATTCTACGTGACTTTACTGAAAGAACCAAAGAAGAAAAATGGCTCTTTTGTTATTTTGGTTTGCCGGCCCCTGGTCTATGGATAATGTTATTCTCTGAGTAATGTCAGCACATGGGTCACGTGAGTATATTGGGCAATGTTTGTCTATGGATCGTGTTATTATTTGGGTAACGTCAGCAAATGACCCAAATACCGATGCCGGCCCCCGAGGAGCGGGAATTAAAACTCGGGCCGCCGCCAGCCGTTCGCGGCACATCGACCGCCGACCACTACACCACCCCCCCCCCACCCCTCCCAGCAACGCGGACCCCACCTTCTTGTCACTGAGACCCGACACCTGGTCGATGTACTCCTCCTGGATCATGAAGGCGGCCAGGTTGGCCGTGTAGCTGGCGAGGAAGATCACGGCGAAGAAGGCCCACACGAGCACCATGATCTTGCTGGAGGTGCCTCGCGGGTTCTCCACGGGCACCGAGTTGTTGAACACGAGCGCCCACAGGAGCCACACGCACTTGCCGATGGTGAACGACGGTCCTCCCGGAGCTGCGTACAAGGGGCGGGGGGGGGGGCGGCAGCGTTATTTGTGTAAGCGAACATTTACATGGTGATACTTCTTTCGCACCGCACGTAGGCGACGGCGCTATTCCGAGTTACTTTTGTAAGCGAATATTTAAGTATTTTTCAAACGGCACTGTTACTTTTGTTAGCGGAAGCTTTTTTTGTATTCATCTTCTTGGTTCTTTATTGATAACATTGATGTAGTTTATATTTTAGTTTTTTTAATGGTATTCATTATAGTGTAGTGTATACCCAGTTACTTTATGTTCATAGCTCAACTTATTGAAGAATATATTGAGTACATTTATTATATTGATGTAGTTTATGCTTAGTATTTTCACATCGGTTTATTGTATGCTAGTTGGGTAGTTGCAGTCCTTTAGCGTCCATATACTAAATACCTCCGTGGATATGTAAACTTTGATTTTAACATAGCTATTTCCGTGACCAGTCACATGCTAATCCCTAACATTAACATCATGTTAATCTCCCAGTTGCATGCTAATTTCTGACTTTAGCACCCTGCTGATCCAACACTTTAACACAGCTATTTCAATGCTAAATTCTCCTGTTTGATATGTAAACTCCTTTGTCAAGACGCTTTACCTCTCCCACCTAGCCTTAAAGACGCTGCGAATCTTAGCAGCGTTCATTGAAGCGCTGTCGTCCCGACAGTTCTGTTCCTTCACCTGAAGAAGGCTACTTGTGTTGTGGCCGAAACGTCGTGAGAATTGTATTGTCCTATTTTGTTTTATTGTTTTATTCTCATTCTACGTGACTTTACCGAAAGAACCAAGAAGATGAATCCTTGCAGTCACGAAAACTTTAAATCAAAACTTTTTTTGTATTGTTTATGTATGTAGCATGTTGAACTTCTTTTGCACCATACGTTGCCAACCGCGTTACTTTTGTGAGTGAAAGTTTTTAGTATTTTTTTGAATGACAGCATTGTTAAACGCCAGCTTTAGTTTTGTAAGCTGAACGTCGTGTATTTGTCTGTTGTCTTGTAAATCCCAACGTTACTTTCGTTAAGGAAATACTTTTCATACGTATTCTTTTAAACGGGCAGCGTTACTTTTTTCGCGAAAGTTTCACGTTTTTTTTAAAAAATATTATTAAACGGGCAGCATCTACTTTCCTAAGCGAAAGCATGTTTTTTTTTTACATGTAACAAAAATCAAATTAAAAGCCTGAAGAAAGGGCCGTCGAGAGTCACGCGCGCAGCACAAAAACAGCTCGCCGCCCCAGCGCACCGCTTTGTCCGCATCGGCCGAGTGGTCGGTCGTCGCGCGACGACGACGAATTAATCCGCTCCGCGTCCCATCAACCGTTTCAGCGGTTCTCAAATCACGCCGTGCGCGCTGGGGGACAACCGCGAACTTGCGAATGGGGGGGGGGCCTCCACAGACGTCTTGGAAGGTGTCCGGAGGGAACGGGAGGAAGAAACTAACTACCGGACGTAATGAAAATCAACAACCTGTACCTGCTCCAATCCCAGATTCCCGATAGACGCGCAGATCTGTACTTTCGTATTCGCCGAGTGTCCGCTGCTACTTGGCCCTCGCTCCGCGACCCTAACGAGCGAGGCTGCGGATGCCCTGGGCTCCTCATCTCAGCACGTCTTGGTGCACCCACACACCCCCCCACCAAGCCCCCCTATTCCCATCCCCCGCACCCCACCCTGCCTACCGCCCTTTGCCGTGCGGTTAATTTAATCTGCATGAGAACTGTGCATATCCCCTTGATACACCCCCCCCACCCCTCCCAGCCATGCATTTTAATGTACGTTTGTATGCTGAACTTCTTTCACACAGTACGTAGCCAACCGTGCCATGCATGACGACTACATATTCATTGATCCTTACCTCGAAGGGGTCCCGCAACTCCCCCTTGCCCCCCGCCCCTCCCCCACCAACCGTGCTAATCGGAGGTACCGCGGAAGGACAATAACTAATGGGTCTCTGTGTGAGTCTGTGGGTCTCTGTGTGAGTCTGTGGGTCAAAGTGTGAGTATATGGGTCTCTGTGTGGGTCTGTGGGTCTCTGTGTGAGTCTATGGGTCTCTGTGTGAGTCTGTAGGTCTCTGTGTGAGTCAATGGGTTTCTGTGTGAGTCAATGGGCCTCTGTGTGAGTCAATGGGCCTCTGTGTGAGTCTATGGGGCTCTGTGTGACTCTATGTGTCTCTGTGTGAGTCTGTAGGGGTTTCTGTGTGAGTCTGTGGGTCTCTGTGTGAGTCTATGGGTCTCTGTGTGAGTCGGTGGGTCTCTGTGTGAGTCTATGGGTCTCTTCTGTGAGTCTATGGGTCTCTGTGTGACTCTGTGGGTCTCTGTGTGAGTCTGTGGGTCTCTGTGTGAGTCTATGGGTCTCTGTGTGAGTCTGTGGATCTCTATGTGAGTCTATGGGTTTCTGTGTGAGTCTATGGGTCTCTTCTGTGAGTCTATGGGTGTCTGTGTGACTCTGTGGGTCTCTGTGTGAGTCTATGGGTCTCTTCTGTGAGTCTATGGGTCTCTGTGTGAGTCTATGGGTCTATGTATGAGTCTATGGGTTTCTGTGTGAGTCAATGGGTCTCTGTGTGACTCTATGTGTCTCTGTGTGAGTCTGTGGGTCTCTGTGTGACTCTGTGTCTCTGTGTGAGCCAATGGGTCTCTGTGTGAATTAATGGGTCTCTGTGTGAGTCTGTGGGTCTTTGTGTGAGTCTATGGGACTCTGTGTTAGTCTATGTGCGTATTATGTATGTTGAACTTCTTTCGCACCGTACGTAGCCAACCGGGCCTACAGGGGTTGCGGGGGGAAGGACACCAAGCAACTGAATGCAAAAAGGAAGTTCTGAAGAAATAACCGTGGCAGAAGAGCATCAATTTTCTCGGTTGTTATGTAAAAGTAAGTGCAAATGTGGAGTGCATATCAATTCGAGCCGGTTTCCCCGTGGGTGTATGAATGTTTTAAGTTGTTTGTCAGTGCAGTTTTCGATTTGATGTTATATTGAGCGGGTTCAACCATCACGGGGATGCCGTCAGTTCGACTCCACCCACCCTTGATCCCCCCTGATCCCCCCTGCCCCCGACTCTACCCCCCCCCCCATCACCCGGCGTCTCTATCCACCCAGCATTGTATTTTGGTAACACCCCACACAATTAGCAGGTTTGGTGTGGTGGTGGTAGTGGTGGCGGTGTACAAACGTGGGGCACTGGCACTTCTACCGAGACGTTCTGGCCCCCGGCTTGGAAGAGTAGGCCAAGAATACCCGGCAGATGGGGCTCTCGAGAAGTCTCCCCCTCTAGCGGAGGCGCCTTCGATGAGTGCGGTTTGGCTACGTCCGGTGGGCGAGAAGTCCAGCACACGTACGTACGTAACGTACCCGGGTGTGGGATTAGACAAAGTGGCATCGCCCCCGCTACTGCGGCAAAACTTGGCAGGCTTCTCGTCCTCCTCCTGGCAAAGAGTCTTGGTACTCAAAGAGGCTTTCCTGGGTGAATGAGCCGAGTAATAATAATCACCATCATCGTCGTCGTCGTCATCATCCGGTGCACAAACGTGAGCACACAAAGCAAGAGAGAAGGATGCTGGGGAGCGTAGCGATGAGGATGCTAGGGGTGGATGTTTGGAAAGAGGCCTCGTGGCTCAGAGGTCAGCGCAAGGAGCCTGGGTTCCCATCCGGGTCTCGGATATTGCTGCTGCTGCTGTCTGTTGTTTAAACGGGGTTCTCAGGTGCAGTGAGTTGATGGTCTCAGCCTGGTCACCAATAACTCACACAGGGGGCCATAGCCTCAAATAGCGACCCGTAGCCTTAAGAGGCCCCTTAGACTTAGATAGAAAGCGAGACACTCCCGTGCCAGTGTGAATGTCTCCGTGTCAGTCTGAATGTCTCTGTGCCAATCTCAATGTCTCTGTGCCAGTCTGAATGTCTCCGTGCCAGTCTGAATGTCTCCGTGCCAGTCTGAATGTCTCTGTGCCAGTCTGAATGTCTCCGTGCCAGTCTGAATGTCTCTGCGCGAGTGAGTCGGCTATCTCCGCGGAAGTCTACGGATCGTCTCGGCGTCATTGCGGGTCCTCGGATCTCCGTTTGGAGGGCAATGGAATGCGACCCGGAGCAGAGAAGAGAGAGAGAGAGGGAGCCGGCTGGAAGCGCACGCGGAGAAATTAAATCCGAGCAAGCTGCTGACGGCTACCCCCCTTGCGGGCCCCCTGCCCCCACCCTCCCCCCCTCCCCTTCCCATGCGGCAACGCGACCTTCCAGGATCGAAGGACGACGACTGAGCCGGTTTTAATTCACCAGGCGCGCCAATCCCACTAGCCCCTCATGCTCCCCCACACTCCACCCCCACCCGCCCTCCCCCCCCCCCGCTCCCCCGCCCCCCACCCACCCCCCTTCCTCCAACCTCAATCAATGCCCTTTGGCGCAAATGTTCCAGCCGAACGCACCGTCGTGTTTTTCGTCCAACGCTTCCACCTTTATGTTCTTTGTAGTAATTTGCTTTCGGGGATGGTGGTGGGGGGGGGGGTGGCGGGTGGTTGGGAGTAGAAAAAATAAAAATTTTAAATGGCACTCGGGGAGGCGGTTGGCACGCGTTTGGGCGGCTTGGGACCGCTTGGCGCGGGGTCCGCGCGGTGAAAAAAGCGCCGCGAACGGCAACGGCTCCAGCGGAGAAGCCGCGGCCCTTCGACGGCACGACGCCGCTTCGTCGCCGGGTTCACGACTCACGGAGCAGCCGCGGCGCCTGCCAGCGGGCGCCGATGCCAAGCGCCTGCCAGCGGGCGCCGGCTTGGCTTGCCGCTCCACTCGTCGCACACAAAGTGGCTTGCCGCAAATGAGCCACGGTGCCTCCGGTCATCCGCGCGGCGGGCCGGCGGGCGGCGGCGGCGGGTTTTGGCTAAGAGGCGGTCGCGGCATCGCGCGGCGCTTCTCCAGGCGCGCTTCTGCGGTCCGTCTGGAACGCTTCTTCCTTCCGATATGAGGAAGGCGCCGGAGCGAGGCACTTTGAAATCATCTCGATTGACAAACGTATTTCTTCAGGGCTGATTTTTCGCGTTTAGTTTGGTGTCCTTCCACCCCCCCCCCCCCCATCCCCGCATCTCCGATTAGCACGGTTGGCTACATGCGGTACGAAAGAAGTCCAACATACGTACAGAACAGTACATATGTCTTGCTTTTCTCACTGCACAACTTGGCCTCAGCCCACCTCAGGAGGTGGCCCAGTTATTTTACCACCGCAGAATCCGAACAGCGTCACACGTCAATTATTTTCGGGCGCCAAAAAAAATATTCACCCCCTCCCCCACCCACCTCACTTCTGGCCCTGCTTGGCCCCAAACCGGAGACTAAAAGTGAATGTGAAGGTGCAGTTTCACAGCTGGCAATTAGGTGGCCTGGTTGTTTTTCCACTGCAGAAGCCGAGCCGTGCCGCTGACGTAACACGAGCGGCGACTACGACAACGGCCAATCAAAGCGCCCTCGTGTCTCCCCCTGGCTCGGGAGTGTCCGAGCGTGGAGACCGAGCAGGGGCCACGCGGTCGGTCATGTGGGTGGGGTCACGCGGTGGTCACGTGGGTGGGGTCACGCGGGGGGGGGGGGGGGGAGAGCATGCGGGGTGGGGGTCACGTGGGGGTCATGCGGGTGGTCACGAGGGTAGGGTCACGCGGTGGTCACGCAGGTAGGGTGACGTGGGAGTCACGCGGTGGTCACGCAGCTGGGATCATGTGAAGGTCACGCGGGGGGGGAGGGTCACGTGAGGAGGGGGGGGTCACCCGGGTTCACATGGGATCACGTGGGGGGTGGGGTCGTCACGTGGGGTCTCCCTTACTGGCTCCGTTGGCCAAGTTGCGATCGTAGCTCTTGGGGCTGATGTACTCAAACACGAAGACAGCGATGGCCACGACGGAGAGGCACAGCACGAACATCATGACCCACACGGCAGCACTGTAGGGTTCTGTCGGAGGGGGGGGGGGGGTGGGGGGAAGAGGGGATGACACAGCTGGGCCACAGTCCATCGTGCAGTGGAGTCGAAAGACTGTTGTTGTCTTGGTGTGCGTCTGGGAATGTTGTTGTATTCGTGTGGTCTGGGACTGTTGTTGTTGTTGTTTACGTGGCAAATCTCACTGGTTGGCCGTTGTCGGGTGGTGGCGGGTTTAATGCCACATGCATATCCACGCAATCTAACCCCTCAACAAAACCTCTATTATGGATAATATTGGTCGCGAAAGCCTCTTGCTACGCCTCAAACCAACACAAACTGCGCCACAGCATAACAACTTTGATGGGGTGAAATCCACACGGCTCCACCGCTCAGCGCACCTACCAACACAGCGACTAGGAGATGTTAACTACCTCACCTGGTATGCAGGAGGTCATGGGTTCGATCCCGACCCTGACGCCTGCTGCTGTATATTTGGAGTTTGCGTGTCTCTCTCATCATCATCATCACGATGGCTAGGAGATGTTAACTACCTCGCCTGGTATGCAGGAGGTCATGGGTTCGATCCCGACCCTGACGCCTGCTGCTGTATATTTGGAGTTTGAATGTCTCTCTCCCTCATCATCATCATCATCATCACCACGGTGCCTCGTAAATGTTGACTATCTCGCCTGGTATACAGGAGGTCATGGGTTCGATCCCGACCCTGACGCCTGCTGCTGCTGTATATTTTGAGTTTGCGTGTCTCTCTCTCTCCTCTCTCTATCCCCCGTGGTCGTGTGGATTTTTCCCTCCGCATTCAGAATCGACGTCACGCGTTCGGAGTTATTTGGCTGCTGCTGTAAAATTTCCAGCGCGTTGAGCTCCCAATTGCGATGATCAAGTCGCTTCCGTGAATGAGCCAAACAGCTCAGTCGTGCCTTACCTGCGAAAATAAATAAAAACAGCTGAGTAAAATAGCGTGAGAGTGATGGTAGCACGTTCCAGTAGGCATAACTAGAGTTGGGGGGGGGGGAGTGACTTCTGGTGGCCAAAACTACGAGTTGGGGAGATTTGATTTCAACACCAGTGCCAAAGCACCAAAATTCCTTCATTCACTTTTTTTTACTTTTAAGTGTAATTGGAGCGGAAGCAACGTTTTGGTTCTCTGCTAAATTGCGGAAATCAAATATCGGGGCACACACCCCCCCCCCCCCACCTGAACCTATTGCCCCCCCCCTCCCTCCTGAGCCGACGATGTCGTTGCTACGGCAACCGGTGCACACCTTCACCTGCGCACGGGGGACAGCTACCTCACAGTGGCTGGGGTCCCCTAGGCTCACCTGCAGCAAGGCAAAGTAACAAAAGATCTGAGATGAGAGACGCAAATCCGCTGCCAGATTTGCGTCTCCACCCCACGGAGGCGGTGAGGGTGGAGTGGGGGGGGGCGGCGTCCCCCACCCCCGCCCACCCCCCCCCCCCCCCACGTGATCCTTCTGCTGCGATCGCGTTCCGCTGTAGGTCACGTCATGTTTATTCAGTCGGTTAATTAATTAAAGTTAATTGAATGAACGCAGCTCCCCCTCCGCCCCCCCAAAACCACATCGCCACCACCACCACCACCCCCCCCAAACTCCTCCACCGCCCCATGCCTGGCCGCCCCCCGAGGATATGTTTATCATGAGGTTCCGTCTCGGCCCGCTAAGCCTTCTTTTAAGAATAACAAAGCGGAGAGCCTCGTGCGTGCGTGCGTGCGGAGTGCGAATTTAATCAAGCTGTATGTGAGTGGCGAGGCGGCGGGAAAAACGGGGTGGGGTTAATTTAAACGGCAATGCGGGTCGCGTGCGCGCGCGTTTCATTCGCCGCGTCGGACGTGGGGTTCGGAGCCGCGGGAAATATTCGCTAAAGGGCTTCCGGCGTTGGGGAGTGGGCGGCGGGGATGCCTTGCACCCCCTGCCCCCCCCCCCCCCCCTGCCCGCCCCCCTGCCCCCCCCCCCCCCCCCAGTGGCCAAAACTACGAGTTGAGGGGGGGGGCCCCCTTGACAACCACCGTGAGATTCGTTCTCAACAACGGTGTCAAAGAAGGACGAGGTTTACTTTTGGAAGACGGAAGCACGCCCACCCGCCCGCCACCCCGACAGCTTTAAATGTTCGAGACCGTGAGAGCGTGATGACGTAATGTCATCAGGTGCAGGAGGAGTCAGCGATAGAGAATAATAGCCCCCCTCGGTGTGACCGTGCTAAGAGACGAATCACAAAATTGGGGGTGGCCCCAACCTGACCTATTGCCGCACCACTCCCTGAGCTGATAATGTAGCTACTACGTCACTGATAATGTTGTTACTACGTCACTGATAATGTAGCTACTACGTCACTGATAATGTAGTTTACTACGTCACTGATAATGTAGCTACTACGTCACTGATAATGTAGTTTACTACGTCACTGATAATGTAGTTACTACACCACTGATAATGTAGCTACTACGTCACTGATGTTGTAGCTACTACACCACTGATAATGTAGCTACTACGTCACTGATAATGTAGTTTACTACGTCACTGATAATGTTGTTACTACGTCACTGATAATGTAGCTACTACGTCACTGATAATGTAGTTTACTACGTCACTGATAATGTAGTTACTACACCACTGATAATGTAGCTACTACGTCACTGATAATGTAGTTACTACACCACTGATAATGTAGCTACTACGTCACTGATAATGTAGTTTACTACGTCACTGATAATGTAGTTACTACGCCACTGATAATGTAGTTACTACGTCACTGATAATGTAGTTTACTACGTCACTGATAATGTTGTTACTACGTCACTGATAATGTAGTCACTACACCCACTGATAATGTTGTTACTACGTCACTGATAATGTAGCTACTACGTCACTGATGTTGCAGCTACTACGTCACTGATAATGTAGTTACTACGCCACTGATAATGTAGTTACTACGCCACTGATAATGTAGTTACTACACCACTGATAATGTAGTTTACTACGCCACTGATAATGTAGTTACTACGCCACTGATAATGTAGTTACTACGTCACTGATAATGTTGTTACTACGTCACTGATAATGTAGTTACTACGTCACTGATAATGTAGTTACTACACCACTGATAATGTAGTTACTACGTCATTGAAAATGTAGTTACTACGTCACTGATAATGTAGCTACTACGTCACTGATGTTGTAGCTACTACGTCACTGATAATGTAGTTACTACGTCACTGATAATGTAGCTACTACGTCACTGATAATGTAGTTTACTACGTCACTGATAATGTAGTTACTACACCACTGATAATGTAGTTACTACGTCACTGATAATGTAGTTACTACACCACTGATAATGTAGTTACTACGTCACTGATAATGTAGCTACTACGTCACTGATAATGTAGTTTACTACGTCACTGATAATGTAGTTACTACGTCACTGATAATGTAGTTTACTACGTCACTGATAATGTAGTTACTACGTCACTGATAATGTAGTTACTACACCACTGATAATGTAGTTACTATGCCACTGTTAATGTAGTTACTACGTCACTGATAATGTAGTTACTACACCACTGATAATGTAGTTACTACCCCACTGATAATGCAGTTACTAGGCCACTGATAATGTAGTTACTACGTCACTGATAATGTAGTTACTACGCCACTGATAATGTAGTTACTATGCCACTGATAATGTAGTTACTACGTCACTGATAATGTAGTTACTACACCACTGATAATGTAGTTACTACACCACTGATAATGTAGTTTACTACGCCACTGATAATGTAGTTACTACACCACTGATAATGTAGTTTACTACGCCACTGATAATGTAGTTACTACGTCACTGATAATGTAGTTACTACGTCACTGATAATGTAGTTACTACGCCACTCGGCCCTCGACCCCCCTGAACATCGTTTGCGAGAGGTTCCTGGGTTCGGATCGAGCAGCTGTCCCGATTAATATCTGCTTCTACTACCGTGACTGCTACTGCTACTACTGTTGCTGTTGCTTCTACTACTGCTGCTGCTGCTGCTGCTACTTCTTCTACTACTGCTGCGCCGTACCCAGGAAGGCGGAGGGCGACACGGTTCCATTGGAGATGGACACCATGACGCTGATGCCCGTCTCGACGAAGGGCACCGAGAAGTCGATGACCTCCTGGCGCTCCTCGTTGATGGTGAGCGAGCCGATGGCAATGTCCGCCCGTTTGTACAGCACCTGCACCGCAAAGACAAAGGTCATCCACAACCAATACCAAAATCCGCAATTTGCCACTAAGTGACTTAGACGTCACCACGGTGCCTGTGCCAGGCCAGGTGCACTTTGAGGCCACGTGAAGTGTCGAAGGCTCGCTGACAGGACGTCATTGGATAGACCCAGGTGGCTGACTGAGATCACTGCCAGATGCACCAGCTGTTCCCCCTACTGTTCCAACTTGCTGCATCCTACCCGCCCGGCGCTCCGCTCGTTGTTGTGAGCGTCGCTCCTCTGCCCTCCGCTGTTGCTGGAGGGCGACTGCCTCCAACTGCCCAGCAGCAGCAGCGTCCTTCACGAGCCTCCTCCACAAAGGGCGATCTTGACACCACCACCACGACCACATTCACCACCATCGCTACCACCGCCAGCACCGCTACCACCGACACCACGACCATCACCGCCACCCCCACACATCGTCGGGGTCGAGTTGCAGGACAGCGAGCGGCACCCATCCAGGCCTGCAACAGCCACATGTGAAAGTATTGATGGCCAGCAACCACGCCCGGCCGCCTTTGCCTCCCCGGCGGCCATATTTACACACACAGCATCCAGGTACTCGTTTTGAGGCTGAGTCGACCACGGGGAGGAGGCCCAAAAATCGTCGCTGGCATCGGCCATGAGCGAGAATCGAACTCGGGTGGCCAGGTAAGTAGAGCAGCGTAGCACTAACCGCTACACTACCGCTCCCCACAATAAAGACAAATATCCCCCGTATAGCCCGAACAGACTGTTGGGGCAAGTGCTGTTAGCGAGTAGCAATCTATGAAGGCTGGCACGGCGCACGAGCGGGTGGGTGGCCAACGCCACGCCCGAACGCCTTTGTCTCCCCCAGTGGCGATGTTTACAAACCACACCAGGTACTCATCTGAGGCTGATTCGACCTAGGGGAGGCCCAGCACCGGTTCAGACATTCGTCACCGGTGTTGGTCCGTGAGTGGAAATCAAACTCGGGGGTCACTGGGTTCTAAGTGCAGTGCGCTCATCACTATGCCACCAAGACAAAGATCCCCCGTATAGCCTTTCTCACTGACCATTGGGGCAAGTGCTGTCAGGGGGCTGGTCACGTGTGGCTCTGGCCACCAACTCCCTCCGTGCGCCCTGGTGGTCTTCATCATCGGCGCCGCTACTCGCTAACAGCGCTTTCCCTCCCAAGCCGGTGAAGGCTATACGGGGGGGGGGGATACGTGTCTTGTGTGTGCGCGCGCGTACATGCGATCTGTACAGACGACGGGATTTCGGAGCTCTGGGGTCTAATGTGGGTCACCGGCACAAGCACCAATGTACCTATTCTAGGCTCATAAACCCGCACAATGTTCAATTTAATTCATCATTGCTCTCGGCTCGCAGGCAACATTTTTTTTATATATTACTGTTATTATTATATCAAAATATTATGAGTCATTTTCTCTCCTTTCTCTTTCTGGACATATTCGCAATTGGAATAACCTTGACCGGGCAAACAAAACGAACGCAAAAAAAAAAGACCGTGTATAGCCGGGCTTTTATGGAGAAAACGAGAGCCCGAGGTCATACAGTCTCGACAGGGGGGGGGGAGGAGATTGGCCCCAAAAACGCTCGGGTACGCCTCTGCGGCGAGCCACGCGCTCGTTTCCGGCACGGTTGTCCGACGTTTCGCCTCGACGAGCCGATGGCAGGTCGTCAGAAAAAGCGTCATGAATCAAGTAAAGGGACACGAACAAACCTGTTCATATGTCCAGTTGCCTGTTCGGACCGAGAGTCGTAAGCTCAACCGCCGCATAATAGATGGCGTTAGTGGCATCTACATCTGCAGAACGTGAAAAACCAGTGGCATCTACATCTGCAGAACGTGAAGAACCAGAGGCATCTACATCTGCAGAACGTGAAGAACCAGTGGCATCTACATCTGCAGAACGTGAAGAACCAGTGGCATCTACATCTGCAGAACGTAAATAACCAGTAGCATCTACATCTGCAGAACGTGAAGAACCAGTGGCATCTGCGTCTGCAGAACGTGAAGAACCAGTGGCATCTACATCTACAGAACGTGAAGAACCAATGACATCTACATCTGCAGAACGTGAAGAACCAGTCACATCTACATCTGCAGAACGTGAAGAACCAGTGGCATCTACATCTGCAGAACGTGAAGAACCAATAACATCTACATCTGCAGAACGTGAAGAACCAGTGGCATCTGCGTCTGCAGAACGTGAAGAACCAGTGGCATCTACATCTGCAGAACGTGAAGAACCAGTGGCATCTACATCTGCAGAACGTGAAGAACCAGTGGCATCTACGTCTACAGGTGATTATGCAACTTTTCAAGATGTTCCCATTGTTCAGTGTACATGCCGTACGACATGTTTGGAATCGACAGGCATAAAATTGGATTTACAAACAAATCGACTTACGAACAAACCTCTGGAACCGAACTCCTTCGGAAGTAGAGGAGTCCCTGTAATTACAGTTCCCAAACAAGGCGAGAATAACCAAAGGCTGAATATTCGTTGGGGTGCGAGTAGACCTGCTCCGCAAGGCATCGGGGGATTCTGATAACGATGACGACGATGACGACGTCCATTGTAATCGACGTAAGCTAAGCCGCCGTTTTTCACGGTGGCGTAACGGTCAACACGCTGGACTTGCAATCCACAAATCGGCGGTTCCATTCCATCTCTTCCCTTGTGTGGCATTTTAAATGATGCGGGAAAGTTTCCTAAATCTCCCAGCCGAACCCCCCCCCACCGCTACTGCCATCTCCCCCCCCACCCACCCAGCAGTATGTTGCATGCAGTGGGGTAAGGTGTGGGTGATGATAGGTATATATTGTTATTATTATGCTTGAACACCAAACAACGGGAGTCACAGAGGAGATACACCCTGCAACGGCAGGGGTGACAGTTTGGAGAAGTGGGTTTGGGTGATGATGATTTTAATAATTTTGGTTTGATATAGAAATCCTCCGAAACGCCGGGGCACCTCAAAATACTCTCCATCTCACACATCTCATCTATTCTAGATTTGAAGCTTTCGTGACTGCAAGGATCCACACTCTTTGGTTCTATTCGGTAAAGTCACGTAGGTAGTGATTTTTGTTATTTTTTATTTTTTTTATTTATTACCTACGTGACTTTACCGAATAGAACCAAAGAGTACACATCTCATCTATTCTAGATTTGAAAAGGCACCCCCGGTGGCAGCGGTCCCTGTGCGGCACGCGGTGACACCGGCACCTGGCCCTGCGAGCGGGAATCCGTCTGCCGGTCGGGTGGGCGATGATTGTCGCTGCGCGGTCTAGCCTAGGGGACCGCTCAGCGGCAGCCGTCCCTGTGTGCACACGCCGACTCCGGCGTAAACAAAGCCGACTTGGGGAGACAAAGGTTTGGCCGGGCGCGGCGTGGCGCCAGCCACCCAGACCACCTCGTGTGCCACGCCGGTTCTTCGCAGGTGCCCGGCTGCTGCTCGCCAACAACGCTGCTTGCCCCGCCGCGGCGCTCGCCGGACCGAGGGGTGGCAGCGGGGCAGCCCGGGGGCAAGCGACGTGCGGCCATCCCCTCTCCCCCCCCGCTCCCCTCTCTCCGACTATGTTCAGAAACCCGGCGGGCGTTCGGGTTTCGTGTAGAGCCTCTGTGTCCGTGCCCGCAGACGCCGGCACTAAACGAGAATGAAACGTGGCGGAGCTTTTTTATCCTCACCGTTCGGCTCCGTCCGCGATGGTTGCTCGAGAACTTGCGGGGCCTGTGGCAATGTTAGTCTATGGTGCAATGTGAATCTATGGTGCAATGTTAGTCTATGGTGTAATGTTAGTCTATGGTGCAATGTTAGTATATGGGCAATGTTAGTATATGGTGCAATGTCTATCTATGGTGCAATGTTAGTCTATGGTGCTATGTTAGTCTATGGTGCAATGTTAGTATATGGTGTAATGTTAGTCTATGGTGTAATGTTAGTCTATGGTGTAATGTTAGTCTATGGTGTAATGTTAGTCTATGGAGTAATGTTAGTCTATGGTGTAATGTAAGTCTATGGTGTAATGTTAGTCTATGGAGTAATGTTAGTCTATGGTGTAATGTTAGTCTATGGTGTAATGTTAGTCTATGGTGTAATGTTAGTCTATGGAGTAATGTTAGTCTATGGTGTAATGTAAGTCTATGGGCAATATTAGTATATGGGCAATGTTAGTCTATGGGCAATGTTAGTCTATGGGCAATGTTAGCCTATGGTGCAATGTTAGTCTATGAGCAATGTTAGTCTATGGTGCTATGTTAGTATATGGTGCAATGTTAGTCTATAATGCAATGTTAGGCTATGGGCAATGTTAGTCTAGTGTCCAATGTTAGTCTATGGTGCAATGTTAGTCTATGGTGCAATGTTAGTCCATGGTGTAATGTTAGTCTATGGTGCAATGTTAGTCTATGGTGTAATGTTAGTCTATGGTGCAATGTTAGTCTATGAGCAATGTTAGTCTATGGGCAATGCTAGTATATGGTGCAATGTTAGTCTATGGGCAATGTTAGTCTATGAGCAATGTTAGTCTATGGGCAATGCTAGTCTATGGTGCAATGTTAGGCTATGGTGCAATGTTAGTCTATGGTGCAATGTTAGGCTATGGTGCAATGTTTGTCTATGGTGTAATGTTAGTCCATGGTGTAATGTTAGTCTATGGTGCAATGTTAGTCTATGAGCAATGTTAGTCTATGGGCAATGCTAGTATATGGTGCAATGTTAGTCTATGGGCAATGTTAGTCTATGAGCAATGTTAGTCTATGGGCAATGTTAGTCTATGGGCAATGCTAGTCTATGGTGCAATGTTAGGCTATGGTGCAATGTTAGTCTATGGTGCAATGTTAGGCTATGGTGCAATGTTAGTCTATTGTGCAATGTTAGTATATGGTGCAATGTTAGTCTATGGGCAATGTTAGTCTATGGTGCAATGATATTCTATGGTGCTATGTTAGTCTATGGGCAATGTTAGTCTATGGGCAATGTTAGGCTATGGTGCAATGTTAGTCTATGGGCAATACTCTTTGGTTCTATTCGTTCTATTCGTGACTTTACGAATAGAACCAAAGATTATGGATCCTTGCAGTCACGAAAGCTTCAAATCTAGAATCAATGGACAATGTTAGTCTATGGACAATGTTAATCTAGTGTGCAATGTTAGTCTATTGTGCAATGTTAGTCTAGTGTGCAATGTTAGTCTATGGGCAATGTTCGTATATGGTGCATTGTTAGTCTATGGTGCATTGTTAGTCTATTGGGCAATGTTAGTCTATGGGCAATGTTAGTTTATGGTGTAATGTTAGGCTATGGTGCAATGCTAGTCTATGGCAATGTTAGTCTATGGGTAATGTTAGTCTATGGTGCAATATTAGTCTATGTGCAATGTTAGTCTATGTGTAATGTTAGTCTATGGTGCAATGTTAGTCTATGGGTAATGTTAGTCTATGGGCAATGTTAGTCTATGTGCAATGTTAGTCTATGTGTAATGTTAGTCTATGGGTAATGTTAGTCTATGGGTAATGTTAGTCTATGGTGCAATGTTAGTTTATGGGTAATGTTAGTCTATGGGTAATGTTAGTCTATGGGTACTGCTAGTCTATGGGCAATGCTAGTCTATGGGCAATGTTAGTTTATGGGTAATGTTAGTCTATTGGCAATGTGAGTCTATGGGCAATGTTAGTCTATGGGTAATGTTAGTCTATTGGCAATGCTAGTTGTCTTGGGCAATGCTAGTCTATGGGCAATGCTAGTCTATGGGTAATGTTAGTCTATGGGCAATGTTAGTCTATGGGTAATGTTAGTCTATGGGTAATGTTAGTCTATGGGTAATGTTAGTCTATGGGCAATGTTAGTCTATGGGCAATGCTAGTCTATGGACAATGCTAGTCTATGGGCAATGTTAGTCTATTGGCAATGCTAGTTGTCTTGGGCAATGTTAGTCCATGGGTAATGCTAGTCTATGGGCAATGTTAGTCTATGGGTAATGTTAGTCTATGGGCAATGCTAGTTGTCTTGGGCAATGCTAGTCTATGGGTAATGTTAATCTATGGGCAATGTTAGTTGTCTTGGGCAATGCTAGTCTATGGGCAATGCTAGTCTATGGGTAATGTTAGTCTATGGGTAATGTTAGTCTATGGGTAATGTTAGTCTATGGGTAATGTTAGTCTATTGGCAATGCTAGTTGTCTTCGGCAATGCTAGTCTATGGGCAATGCTAGTCTATTGGCAATGCTAGTTGTCTTGGTCAATGCTAGTTGTCTTGGGCAATGCTAGTCTATGGGCAATGTTAGTCTATGGGTAATGTTAGTCTATTGGCAATGCTAGTTGTCTTTGGCAATGCTAGTCTATGGGCAATGCTAGTCCATATTTCTCTCTCTATGTGAGCCGCGTTCTTTCTCACACAGACATCAGCTGCCATGGGCCTTCCTTCCTTCCTTCCGTTCGCGCCCCGCCCGTTGAAACTTCACCCAACAACTCTGCATCGCATTCGCCTCCCCCGGTTGCAGCATCCAATTAAAATCAAATTGCCAGCTGATTACGATTCGTAAATGAGTTGCAATGGCAATTGAATCAAAAACGTTCGGCTAACGATGATGCCTGCTGGCTGGCTGGTTGGCTGCTGCTGCGATTGTAAAAAAATAATAATAATTGTTTTTAGAAATCGACTTCGGGTCTGATGGTGATGGCATTGTTGCAGGGATGTTGCGATCGTCCGCTGTGGGTTTTCTCCCGACTTTCCTCCTCTTCCCACATCCGACGAGGAACTCGCCGTGTCAATCAACCCAATCCCACCCACCCCCCCCCCCCCCCCCCCCCACACCGCGTCGTTTGGCACGATGTCCGACGGTTCGCTGCACGTGCCCTGACGGGGAGCTGCTTCAGACACTTGAACGTGGTATTCGTGCGTTGAGATTATGTTCAAAGCTGTAAACCCCTCTGTCAGTGCTTTACGTTATCACAGACCAATTCAGACCTTATTGGTCACCCCCGTGCCCTTATAAATCTCAACGTTCATCCTACAAAGTCCAATCACAAGGGAGAAACGCAAACAAATAGACAATAACGACTCGTCCACTCCCCATTAGCACACTCACCACTACATGCCTGTCAACCCCTTATCAGTACTCTACCTTATTACAGACCAATTCAGCCCTTATTGGTCACCCGGTGCCCTTATAAATCTCAACGTTCATCCTACAAAGTCCCATCACAAGGGAGAAACACAAATTTTTATTTTTTTACTCAATTTCCATGTACAGGAATACGGGTAAATCGTAACGGTTGACATGTCTGTATTTTAGTGGTATAAATGTCCACGTGATAAGCCACTTTGTTGAGCTACCATCTGTGGCCAGGTCGCTTCTGAAAATTAAGTTAATACCTCCGTGGGCTTTGCCTGGTAGGATGGGGATGGTTTAGTTGTTGTATTTGTGTTTGGGTGACTTGTTTACCTTGCTTGTACTTTACACTCATATCGTGTTGTTTGTTGTTGTAACGTTCAGACCCGCTCCTACTGGACATCTGTGAAAAAGAGCTTCATAGCTCATCAGATTCCTCCAGTGTAAATCAATATTCAGATTCTGATTCCCGAAGGAGGCGCCAGCGTGTCAGGTGAAGTCTATCTCTATCTCCCTCCCTCTCTCGTTCCCTTTCTCTCTCCCTATCTCTCTTCCTCCCTAACTCTCTCTCACTCACTCACTCTCCCTATCTCTCCCTCACTCACTCACTCTCCCTATCTCTCCCTCACTCACTCACTCACTCCCTCCCCCTTCTCCCTCCCTCTCGCTCACCTCTCCGACCATGCCGTTCCACAGGCCCTGCACCATCTTGCCGTGCTTTCCGTTGGACACGAGGTAGAGGTCGAAGGTGAACCCCACTCCCTTGGCGAGCTTCTTGAGGATGTCGATGCAGAAGCCCTTGCAGCAGCGCTTGATGTAGGAGCCAGTGTCGGTCAGGTTCCTGAGCACAAAGACAAAGGTTCCACAAACACCCCACCCCACCCGTACAGCCTTAACAAACGGACACTTGGACAAACTGATAGACACACAGAGAGAGAGAGAGGGAGGGGATCTACAAAGACTGTCACCCGCCCCACCCTCCAGAGCTCCCGAAGGAACAAAGCTCCCCGCGGATTAGACGGTGGCTCAAACTGGAGTCGTCAGAACCCAGCCGAGCTCTGAACTTCCCACATCTGCGCTGCCAACGCTGCGCCCGTCACTTTGTTTAGGGTGTGGGGGAGGGTGTGGGTGGGGGGGGAGTAACGAGGCAGGGGGGGGGGGGGCACGATGCAGTCAACGTTGAAGAAACTCTAAACGAGTGTTTAAATGCAGAGAGAGTGGCAATGCGATCCACTCTCGCGTGAACAGGCACTCCTCTACTTACGAACGAGTTGGGTTCCAGATGTCAGTTCGGAAGTCGAATTGTTCGCAAGTCCAACTTTACCAATGTCGATTCCAAACATGCTGTGCGGCGTGTACACTAAACACCGGGAATGGCTTTAAAAGTTGTATAATCTCCTGCAGATGTAGATGCCACTGGTTCTTCACGTTCCACAGATGTAGATGCCACTGGTTCTTCACATTCTGCAGATGTAGATGCCACTGGTTCTGCACATTCTACAGATGCAAATGCCACTGGTTCTTCACATTCTGCAGATGTAGATGCCACTGGTTCTTCACGTTCTGTAAATGTAGATGCCACTGGTTCTTCACATTCTACAGATGTAGATGCCACTGGTTCTTCACGTTCCGCAGATGTAGATGCCACTGGTTCTTCACGTTCTGTAGATGTAGATGCCACTGGTTATTTATATTCTGTAGATGTAGATGCCACTGGTTATTTTTGTTCTGTAGATGTAGATGTCACTGATTCTTCACGTTCTACAGATGTAGATGCCACTGGTTCTTCACGTTCTGCAGATGTAGATGCCACTGGTTCTTCACGTTCTGTAGATGTAGATGCCACTGGTTCTTCACGTTCTGCAGATGTAGATGCCACTGGTTCTTCACGTTCTGCAGATGTAAATGCCACTGGTTCTTCACGTTCTGCAGATGTAGATGCCACTGGTTCTTCACGTTCTGCAGATGTAGATGCCACTGGTTCTTCACGTTCTGCAGATGTAAATGCCTCTGGTTTTTCACGTTCTGCAGATGTAGATGCCACTGGTTCTTCACGTTCTGCAGATGTAGATGCCACTGGTTCTTCACGTTCTGTAGATGTAGATGCCACTGGTTCTTCACATTCTGCAGATGTAGATGCCACTGGTTCTTCACGTTCTGCAGATGTAAATGCCACTGGTTTTTCACGTTCTGCAGATGTAGATGCCACTGGTTCTTCACGTTCTGCAGATGTAGATGCCACTGGTTCTTCACGCTCTGTAGATGTAGATGCCACCACCGCCATCTATTGCGTGGGGGTTGAACTTACGACTCTCGGTCCGAACAAGCAACTGGACATATGGACGGATTTGTTCGTATCTCTGAAAGTTTGTAAGTCGAATGTTCGTAAGTCGATGAGTCCCTGTATCTCGAACTCTGCCCTGGCCCCCCCACCCCCCCCCCCCCCCCCCACCTCACTCTTGTAGAGAGAGAGAGAGAGGACGACTCAGAGGCACCAAGAAGAGGAAGCACAAACGAGGATCTGCCTGTTCAACTTTTATTGTTCAGGTAAGGCCCCAATTGAGCTATATTTTATAGCTCTGTTTAAGAAGCGACCATGCCACAAATGATTGCCTAGCGAACTGGCTTACCATCGCGTGCCAATTCATAGCGGCCAAACACCTCCAAACGCACGTGGATTATAAATTGCGGAGGGGAAAATCCGAGAAAAATCCTGGCGACCACGCAGGCATTAGGGTCTGGATCGAATCCACGACCTCCTGTATACCAGGTGAGGTAGTTAACATGTTGCTATCTTAGTGAGTCGGCGCTACTTACAATTTCCCAAGCTCCGCGGTCATCTGCGTATTCGTATTATTTTGTGGCAAACTAATAAACGTTGATGTACGTGCGATGAGAAACCGCAGAACACCCGGATAAAAACCATGGGTGGAGTTTAGTCCACAGTGCTGCTGTGCACCGCGCAGATGGAACGGGTGGGGATTAGTCCACAGTGCTGCTGTGCACCGCGCAGATGGAACGGGTGGGGATTAGTCCACGGTGCTGCTGTGCACCGCGCAGATGGAACAGGTGGGGATTAGTCCACGGTGCTGCTGTGCACCGCGCAGATGGAACGGGTGGGGATTAGTCCACGGTGCTGCTGTGCACCGCGCAGATGGAACGGGTGGGGATTAGTCCACGGTGCTGCTGTGCACTGAGCCGGGGTATACGCCTCCCCCTCAACACCCACGGGTAGAAGGGAGTTTCACACCCCATCTGTGTGGTGCTCCACCAACCCCTCGCTGCTGCTACTGCTGCTACTGCGGCTGCAGCAGCAGCAGCAGCAGCATCAGCAGCGTCGCTACCATCAACCACGCCTGCCACCGCTGCACATCCTTTAAGAAATCCGCACTCGGCGCACGGAGGGCGCTAATGATGCGATCCATAGACCCCCCCCCCCCCCCCCCCGCATTGTTATTCAGCAGCTGTTTCCTGCTTCGGGAGGATGGAGACTGTCCCGTCTGCAAACGCAACCCCCCCCCCCCCTGCCCCCCCCTGCCCCCCCGGCACTCATCAATCCCCATCGCAGTCGCTGATGGGACCTTAACGATAAGACGCGCGACCTTGAACCCTGACCTTCGACACCGAGCGCTCGTCCCCGTCTGGATTCCGTGACAACCACGGAGAACGGGCAGAACGCGCCGTGGCAGAGCGGACGGGAGGGATTTCCAATTTTTTTTTTTTAAATCTATATTTTTTATTTTCCCCGCGGGGACCGGCCGGGTCTGCTTCGTTGTTCGGGAGAGGGCAATTATATTTTTTTTCTTCAAGGAAGGTTCACCAATTATAACGGCTTAGACGGCCGGTCTTCTGAATTTTGATGCATGCCACTGTCCGTTCTCCTCCGCGGATTTCAAAGAGTCTTTTTGTAACCTTGCGAGAATCAATTGGATTGGAGGGGCGGTGGAGGTGGGGGGGGGGGGATGGGTTTAGTGCATGAGCGTGCACATGGACGTGCGCGTGTGTATTTGTATGATAGTGGGGGTGAGCGGTAGTGTAGACGGTTAGCGGTTTATCTGCGCCGCCCCACGTGCACGGCAAACCCGAGTTCGAATCCCGCTCATGGACAACACGACGATTTAGCTGGGCCTTTGGCGAGTGCCTGGTGTGGTGTGTAAATATTTAACAATTGGCTATCTGCCCGCTCGTGTGCCACAGTGCCGGCCTTCATGGGTGCTACTCGCTAATAGCACTTGCCCCAACTGTCTCTTAAGGCTATATGGGGGAATCTTTGTCTTTGTATGCATGATAGTGGGGAGCACTTTCATAACCCGGTGGTCTAGACCTACAACCCGGTGGTCCAGACCTACGGCCCGGTGGTCTAGACCTACGACCCAGTGGTTTAGACCTAAGACCCGGTGGTCCAGACCTACGACCCGGTGGTCTAGACCTACGACCCAGTGGTTTAGACCTAAGACCCGGTGGTCCAGACCTACGACCCGGTGGTCTAGACCTACAACCCGGTGGTCTAGACCTGCGACCCGGTGGTCCAGACCTACAACCCGGTGGTCCAGACCTACGACCCAGTGGTCTAGACCTGCGACCTGGTGGTCCAGACCTACGACCCAGTGGTCTAGACCTACAACCCGGTGGTCTAGACCTACAACCCGGTGGTCTAGACCTACAACCCGGTGGTCTAGACCTAAGACCCGGTGCTCGAGACCCAAGACATGGTCGTCTAGACCTAAGACCCGGTCCTCCAGACCTACGACCAGGTGGTGTAGACCTACGACCCGGTGGTTTAGACCTAAGATCTGGTGGTCCAGACCTACAACCCAGTGGTCTAGACCTACGACCCAGTGGTCTAGACCCAAGACCCGGTGGTCCAGACCTACGACCCGGTGGTCTACACCTAAGTCCTGGTGGTCTAGCGCTAAGACCCTGTGGTCTAGACCTACAACCCGGTGGTCTAGACCCAAGACCCGGTGGTCTAGACCTACAACCCGGTGGTCTAGACCTACGACCCGGTGGTCTACACCTAAGTCCTGGTGGTCTACACCTAAGACCTAGTGGTCTAGCGCTAAGACCCGGTGGTCTGGTGCTAATCCAGTAGTCTAGACCTAATACCACCGATATTCTAGTGCTAAGTTCACCACCGGTCTAGTGCTATCGCGGAGGCAGCGGTGGGGGTGTGGGGGTGTGGGGGTTCGCTGGTTCCGCTACCGCTGGCGCTGCGGGTGAAGGGTGAGCCCACGTTTCGCTGCACGGGTGACACTTCTGATTCAGACCCCAATCAACATCCGGCGGGGGGGGTGGGGGCTTGGAGGGCGGGATTCGATTTGCAGTGCGGCAGTCGCGACAGCGGCATCGGCTGACGGGAGCGGCGGACAAAGGGCGAGAGAGAGAGTGGGAGACATAGAGCGTGAGAGAGCGAGCGGGAGAGTGTGCGTGAGAGAGAGGGAGAGAAAATATACGAAAAAAATGTAAAGGAAAAAAAGAGAAGAAAAATAAAAAAAGAGAGAGGGAGCGAGCGAGCGAGAGGGTGCGACCGAGTAGCGAGAGAGAGAGCGACAAAGAGAGAGGCAGAGTAGCGAGAGAGAGAGTAGCCAGAGAGAGGGAGCGTGTAGCGCGCGCGCGAGAGAGAGAGAGAAAGAAAGATGGAGCGAGCGAGTCGCAGTGAGGGAGGTGAAGGTCACGGTGTGATTAGAGAGCCATTCATCAAAGCGCCGCCTTAACTTCGCTGAACTTTGAAAAACACGCGCGGCGTCTCACCTGCCGTGCCACTGTCGCGGGGTCTCAGATCACGTTTCAATTCTCCAAGGCGGGGCGGGGGGGTGACCCCCAACATCCCCCCAACTCAGC